GTTGGGAGAAAATTGAGAGAAAATGGAGGAAGCTACCAAAATGCAAAATAAAAAGAAAATGAAAAGAACGTGAATGAAAGCAAGTAAATAAGGAAATATAATTTAGATTAAAATGAATTTAGATGGAAAACTGGTAAAAAGGGAAAATTAGAACAATTTAATTTAGGAGGGAAAACTCTAAACATAAGCCTTGGTATAATTGCTTTATAGACTTTGGACATTGTAGACTTACTGAGAATGGTGCAGAGATATGTGATCAAAAATGTAAATTTTCTGAAAAGATCGATAAAGATGGGGTTTTAACGAAACCCAAATATTCAAACTCCATCAGTTGTAAAGGGAGACATAGAATGATAAGCCAAGGACAGCGGGCGAACCGGATTGATAAGAGGAACCCAATGGGGACGGAGGTGTTGAACAACACCTTACAGTTAGCGACGAATCGAAGAAAAACCTAAAATAGGTGGAGAGATGGAAAATGTTTCTGGTTTTTGGCATGAATAAGGGGAAAATTGGGAAATAATTGAGACATTTTTTTTAAAAGAACTTAAACTTTTGGGTAAATTATTCATCTACTCCGAACTTTTGGAAACTTGCAAAAGTTCTGAAAATTAATATTGAATTCAATTTAACCCGCCAACTTTGGGGTGTGACATCAATGCATGGTCTCTACTCATTTTCCTTGGAAAATAACTTTGAAATTCAATTTCCTTTATTAATTATTTATTTTCATTTTATTTCAATAGTTTAATACTAACATCCTTGAACAATAATTTATTGCTTAATAAAATATTTTAATTACTAAAAAGTAAATAAAATTTATGGTTTATATATTAAAATATTAATAGTGAGTTATTATAAATTATATTTTTACTATAATTATATTTTTTTATTTGTATTTTTCATATTTTATTATAGTTTAATTTGATATTTTTGATATATAATAATAATAATTTCATCATAATTTATTTATAATATATATCTTTTTATTTTATTTTTGAATGATTAAAAGAATAAATATATCATTTAAATTATTTTATTTTAAATATTAAATGAGTGATTGCATTTAAATCTTAATAATTAAAATACTCTTTTAAAATTCAAACATTAAAATTTATTAATAATATATTTTTTCTTAATAAAATATTTCCTATATAAAAATATTATTAATGAATTATCTTAAAATATTTTTCATATTTTTATTATAATTTAAGTTGATATATTTTATATATCATAATATTAATAAGTATAAATATAATTTAAATGCTATATTTTTAATTTATAACATCATGTCTAAGAATATATATTTTGTGTTTTCAAAATCACTTTTTAACAGAAATCACTAACACTTAAATTATAAAGTACACTTTTAAAAATTCAATTTTAAAAATTATTTTCTACAACACTTTTAAAAGTTGCTTTTCAAAAGGAATGCCAAAACTATACACAAGACTGCTATTAATCTAGGATTAGCATGCCTTAATTTTGGTAATAATTTTTAGTTGATGATACTATTCTAGATTTATTTTCATAATAAAAACACAATATGAGAATAAATTTACTAAAAAGTATTTGTTAAGAAGTTAGTTAGCAAGATTAGTTAGGAAGTTAGCTAAGCTGTTATGAGCAGTTTAGTTGTTAACCAAAGTGTATAAATACAACAATAACTTGTACATAGAGTGTATGCAATAAAACAAGTATTACTCAGTACTGCTCTCTTTTATTTTCTTTGCTAAAAGAGATGTTAACATGGTATCAGAGGCCATCACCGACGGTTGTTTCCGGTTAATCTTTTGCCGGTGAGCTAGTTTAGTTGATAGCTTTCTGTTCTTGTTTCTGCATAAGCATGGTCCAGTCGGAGACAACTCAGATTTACTACAATCATCCTCTTTAGTGGATGGGACTTGTTCTCGTGAAGGTCTTTCTCCAGATCTTTTGGCACAGTGGGAGCGTTGTAATGCCATTGTGCTTTCATGGATCTTGAATACGGTTAGTCAAGAACTTTCTACGGGAATAGTTTTTGCTTCGAATGCATTACGTGTTTGGGAAGATCTTAAAGAATGCTTTGACAAGATTGATAGAGCTCGTGTTTATTTTCTGCATCGAGAAATTGTCTCTCATTCTCAAGGTACGCCCTCCATTTCGGTGTATTACACACGCTTACGGTTGTTACGGGATGAATATGATGCCATTGCTCCTTTCGTTATGTGCAACTATGAAGTTTCTCGGCAGAATACGGAACATGTTAACTAACAACGACTCTTTCATTTTCTCATGGGATTAAATGATTCCTACTCCATGGTACGCAGTCAAATATTGCTACTAAAACCTTTACCTTCTGTAAATCAAGTATACTCCATGCTGATTCAAGAGGAAGGTCAGCGTCAAAATGTAGGAAGACTAGCCAGTGTTTTAGAACCTACTGCGTTCTATTCTAGTACTCAGGTCAAAAAATGTTTCAATGGCGTGTGCGACTACTGTCACATCAAGGGACACAAGAAGGAAACATGTTACAAGCTGATTGGTTATCCAGCTGATCACAAGTTTACTAAGCGTAAGGAATCTACTGCTAATAATGTTACCTTGCACAATGAAGGAGAATCAGTACCCTCTTTGACTGAAGATTCTATTTCTGCTAAGGTTCCTACTTTTACACATGAACAATATCAACAAATCCTTGAGTTGTTAGGGAAAGATCTGCCTGTGCAAGCTGCAGCACATATGGCAGGTACTCGTTCTGTTCCCTCGCATCACGACTGGATTATAGATACTGGTGCCACGAATCACATGACTTTTGATATTGAGAAGCTAAGTTCTCATGTTGCTTGCAACTCCTCTTCTTTTGTTCAGCTGCCAAATGGTAAAACCGCCCATATATCCCACAAAGGAACCTATGTCTTTTCTCCTAATCACATATTAACCAATGTTTTACATGTACCTGACTTTCATTACAATCTGCTATCTGTATCCCAATTAACCAAAGAAATTAAGTGTTCATTAACATTTTTTCCACAATTTTGCCTTATACAGGACCTTTGCAGTGGAGAGATGAAGGGGATTGGTCAGTCTGTTTCCTGTAAAAATTCTTGTCTGTCTTTCACTTTGTTAAAATCAGATAATGGTGTTCTATGGCATGCACGACTTGGCCATACCTCTTTGATTACCTTGAATAAAATGTCTCAATTACATAGCAGTTTGTCTAATATTGATCATGTTAAGAGTTGTGGTGTTTGTCCACTTACTAAACAAAACCGTTTACCATTTCCTATGAGTGATTCTCGTGAGTCATCTACATTCTCTCTTATTCATATTGATCTCTGGGGAGCGTATCGTGTCTCAACGCATAGTGGACATAGATACTTTTTAACTGTTGTTGATGACCATACGAGTATGACGTGGGTATTTCTACTTAGACTCAAAAGCGATGCATTTATCACCCTTAAACAATTTTTTTTGCCTATGTTGCAATCATTTTTCTGCTAAAATCAAAATAGTGAGAAGTGATAATGGTTGGGAATTCTTTAGCACTGAAGGCAACACTTTTTTTCTGATCAAGGGATAGTCCACCAAAGTTCTTGTGTCCATACGCCACAACAAAATAGGGTTACTGAACGAAAATACCAACATTAACTAAATGTTGCTCGTGCTAGTAAATTTCAGTCCTTTGTTCCAACTAAGTTATGGGGTGAGTTTATTCAAACTGCCTGCTACATAATTAACAAGTTGCCAACCAAGGTTCTTCAATGAAAAACACCATTTGAAATGTTGTATGGGAAGATGCCTAATGTTTCACACCTTAGAGTATTCAGATGTCTTTGTTATGTTACTATCCCTAACAATCATGACAAATTCTCCTTTAGATCAATCCCTTATATTTTTATGTGGTATTCCTTGGTTCAAAAAGGTTATGTTCTTTTCAACTTGAGTTCGAAGTCCTTTTTTGTTAATAGGGATGTGGTATTTCATGAATCTATATTTCCTTTTCAGTTTCCAAAAAAAAATCTCCATTGTTTCCTATTTCAACCCTGCCTAGTGACCTTGATCGAGAATTTTTGCATATTCCAGTTATGACATCAAATGACTCACGTCATGAGCAGTTACCTGTGCATGAGAATTTACCCGTACATGAATTTACAAATGAACTCAGAACTAGAAATAATGACCATATAGATTTTGGTCCAGCATGTCCAGTTTTTGACAATTTATGTCCTTCATCCTCTCGGTTATCGAGTCAGCCAATTGTACCCAGCTCTTCTCTTTTGAGGTGTTTTACTCTGGTCACTAAACCACCTTCCTGGTTATCTAATTTTGTCCGTCCTCCGCAATCCTCTTCTACTTCACTACAAGCAGGTACGACTTCATCCTTCAATCATACCTCCTCATTTCCTTTATCTTTACCACCTTTTGCTGCTTCTTCCTTATCTTTAGTTGAACCTAAAACCTATCATGAGGCAGCCTGTGATGAATGTTGGGTAGAAGCTATGCAACATGAAATTCATGCTCTAGAGACAAATGGTACTTGGGCAGTGGTTGATCTACCACCAAATAAATAACCCATTGGTTGCAAATGGGTATATCGGATCAAGTACAACTCTGATGGTTCGTTTGAAAGGCTCAAAGCCCGATTAGTTGCTAAGGGTTATAGCCAATGTGAAGGTATTGACTTTCATGATACTTTTTCACCTGTGGCAAAACAAGTTACTGTTCGTACTGTCATTGCCATGGTTGCTATGTTCGGTTGGGAGCTCTATCAAATGGATGTTTTCAACGCCTTCCTACAAGGGGATCTTCATGAAGAAGTCTACATGACACTGCCAGATGGTTTTCGCAACCAGGGGGAGTTTAGAGTATGCAGGTTGCTCAAGTCACTATATGGCTTGAAACAGGCATCTCGACAATGGAATTTAAAATTGACGGAGGCTCTTACTGCAGGTGGTTATGTGCAGAGTCTTTACGATTACTCGCTGTTCACAAAATAAGAAGATGAAAAGTTGGTAATAATGTTGATCTATGTGGATGATCTTTTGATCACTGGCAAAAATAGTGGAATGATAGAAGAATTAAAGACCATCATGCACGGGAATTTTAAGATAAAAGATTTGGGGCAGCTCAAGTATTTCTTATGCATTGAAGTTGTACGAAATACAGAAGGAATTATTCTAAGCCAACGAAAATATGCCTTGGAACTCATTTTAGATTCCGGTTTGGGGAATGCATGTAGTGTTTCTACTCCTCTTGAACAGAATCAAAAACTCACATCATCTGAATATGACATGCACATTGAGCATCGATCTGATGAGCTCTTAGAAGATACTGGAATGTATCAAAGGCTAATTGGAAGGCTTCTTTACTTAACACATACTCGCCCAAACATAATGTATGATGTTCAGCTTTTAAGTCAGTTCATGCAAACTCCAAAGAAAGTCCATTATGAAGCAGCTATGCGTGTTGTGAGGTATATACGAAAAAGTCTAGGTGAGGGTATTCTGTTTTCAAACAAAAGTAGACCTAACTTGGTAGCATTTTGTGATTCTGACTGGGCTGCTTGTCCAATGTCAAGACGTTCTGTTACTGGCTATTGCGTTAAGTTGGGAGATTCTCTCATTTGCTGGAAGTCTAAGAAGCAGAATACCATCTCACGATCATCAGCTGAGGCTGAATACAGGTGTATGGCATCTACAGTAGAGGAATTAGTTTGGTTGAGGGGATTAACTAAGGAACTGGGAATTGAGCACCACGAGCCAACAACGTTGTATTGTGATAACCAGGCTGCACTCCACATTGCAGCAAATCCAGTCTACCATGAGAGAACAAAGCATATAGAAATCGATTGTCACTTTGTGCGTGATCAGATACAAAAGGGAGTTGTTTGCACCAAACATGTCTCAACTAAAGAACAACAAGCTGATATCTTTACAAAAGGCTTAGGAACAAACCAACATGAGCGTTTAAAGATCAAGTTGGGAATGAAAGACGAGAGTCATTCTCCAACTTGAGGGGGAGTGTTAAGAAGTTAGTTAGCAAGATTAGTTAGGAAGTTAGCTAAGTTGTTATAAGCAGTTTAGTTGTTAACCAAAGTGTATAAATACAACAATAACTTGTACATAGAGTGTATGCAATAAAACAAGTATTACTCAATACTGCTCTCTTTTATTTTCTTTGCTAAAAGAGATGTTAACAGTATTTTATGGTCTAACGGAATGACCTTTGATAAATGATTTTTAGAATAAAACTCAATTAAATCAAAGTGTTTTTTTAATATTGCGTGAATCTATGCTTATCAAAATGTTGTTGAGTGATTTGATATGTGAGCATGCCTGTTTGATATGTAAATTTGTGGATTGTGCAACCTTGCTTGAAGACTTCACATTATCCTACAATAATGTCATCGTTGAATGCTGCTACTCTGAGGTAATTACAACTCTTAACTCTCATAATTCGTATAGTTCAGAATTTAGCTTAAATTTAAACAATTGTGTGAATTTGTTTTATAGTTTCATTTTTTTTAAATGCTAATGAAACTGCTTGACACTCTAGAGGATAATTTTGTTATATTCAAATTATATTACCTTTATTATTTGTCGTGTTCACTGAAAATAGGTTGAACCAAAGAAAACTAAAATTAAAAACAAAACAATAAAATGAAGACCTCGCCAATAAAATGAAAAAAAAGTGTTTATTTAATTCATATTCAAGAATATGAAGTCTTACTGTGGATAGATCAACCTAAACAAAATAAATTTTTGTAACAAAGAAATCAAATTTCAGGGGAAAAGTTGGTAGGCTAATTTATGTCATCAAATGGTCCCAGTTCAGCACTGTTGGCCGTGGCGCCATTTCTGTTGTTACTACTTTCACCATCATAAAATCCAAAGGGTCCAACTAAGTGGTAGGGGAACCACTTCTCACTGGTCCCGATGGGTGACGTCCTGGCCCCATTTCATGGCTGAAATAGCCACATTCTGTCATATTTGTATCAGCCATAAGGGTACTGAAAGTTTCAAATGAGGGAAGCCCCGACCCCTGGTCAACAGCAGCAACACTTGAAGAGCCACCAAAAGAAAAATGATGTCTTTGCGGCACCCGTTCTACAGCAGCGCTTGAGGAGCTGCCACCAAAAGGATGTGTTGGTGTCACAAGTTCTGTAGTTGTTCTTGAGAAGCCTCTACCAAAAGGATGTTTTGGTGACACTTTCTACAGCAGTACTTGAGGAGCCACTAACAAAAGGATGCATTAACGACACTTGTCTACAGCAGCACTTAGGGTTGTCGGTAATTGAGGGTCCTGGTAGCCCCAAGTCAACAGCAACAATACTTGAGTTGCCACCATTTGAAGGACCTAGCAATCTGAACTGAGGTACAACACTTGAGCTACCAGGTGCAATATATGGGCTATAAAGACTTAAACCGATATCACTTTGTACGCTGCTTCTACCTGCACCTCTAAAATTATTGGTGTTCATAAAGCTTTGAAACCAATCGCGACAGGACAAAAGCTCGACTGCTTCCCTCTTATTATCTCTAACTCTTGCACTAGACGAACCAATTTCATAATTTGCAATTGCAGCAGGTCCTTGGGATGGTGGTGGTTGTAAAGGAACATCTCCCTCAGAGGGCCCAATTGATGAGTATGAAACTTTTTCATAATATTCAATATGTTTCCTTATATTTTAACCTTTCTTCCCCAAACCAAATCAATGCATCTAATTCGTTCAAGTTAAAGCCATCTATCATCTTGCCTTGATACATTTGATGCATGAACTGTCCCAGCTCTGCTTCGTTGTTACTTATTGAGTTTCATAAGATGATCTTGTACCTTAGAATGCTTCTCTATCATGTGGTTCTCCGTGTTCATCATTTTCTTCACACGTTGTAGCTCTGGAACAAGATGAAACTTTTCAATCAATCGTTTCACCTCATCAGGCGAAGGCCTCACCATTGGCTCTTGTTCCCCCAGGCTATATAAGAGAAGATAAGCTTCTATACCACATAGAGTGGTCAGCTCCTTGACCTTTTTTACTAACCCATGCCTTCGTGTCTTGAGGCTAGCTCGACGGGAAGTATTGTTGGTAATCCATGTGAGCTTAATCTTCTTTTTTGTCATTGCTATTTCTTTGTAGACCTATATATTTTTAATTGATAGGAAAGGAATAGTCTGTCTTGCACTTAAAACTATTTTCAGCAAAGGGTGAAATAGAGATTAGGGTTGCTTGAAAAGAATGGTCAATGATTCATTTATATAGTGAGCATGGTGACACAATCCATTGATGCCCATAGGAACGCATATCCATTATAGGTAAATAAAAAATAAATGTTGGTTGGTTGGATAATCCAATTTTCTTTTTATTATAGCAAGTAATTTACCATTACTATAGTAATAAATCTGTACTAGATTTAACACAATTGTGTGCTGGTTGGTTGGATATTCCAATTTATTACTTGTTATGAAAAGTAATTCACAATTATTATAGTAATAATTGCTTATTATGGCAAGTAATTCACAATTATTATAGTAATAAATCTGTACTAGATTTAACATAATTTTGTATTTTGAATGTTTTTGAATTTGTCCTATTCTTTAACCATTAAACAACTATTTCATTTATGATGATGATTTATTTGTCTAATTTTAAAAAAATAAGAAAAATAGACTGATATCTTGTGAAGACAAGATTTTATTATATCCGAAAAAATAAGTATAATTAAGTAGATGGAATTTAATTTCAATCTTATTAGTTTGTTTAATTTGTTAGTAAAAAATGAAATATCAATCATATGACCAAATAAATGTGTCATTCACAGTAAACATTATTATACATCACGTGTTCAACTATATAAACTAATAAACATTTAAAAAATAGGGCTAATCATATTGATGTACTTTAATTTCAACAAAAGAAAATTTTCATTGTTTTTATTACATATATTTCAATTCAATGGATTTGGATTATTTTTTTGAAAATAATATATTTCAATTCAAGTTTTTGGGAAGTGCAGTTTGAAGGTGATCGTTTAGCCATGCGTTTAGTAGTCAATCCTAAATTTCTTTATCGTGGTCCCTACTTTGGTTCTTCTGGTTAGCTCGTGTAGTGCTTCGAGTCTTGTAGACTTTTACACTATTGCTATTCAGATTAAGATTCTTGTTCTTTCCTTTTACTCAAGCTTATTGTCTAGTTTGGCTGTGTGACTGGGGTCGTTTTCTCTGTTGTTCTTTACTGTTTAGTTAGGAGAATGTACTCTTTTCCTCTATTAAGATTAGGGAAGTTTTTAACCAGATACATTCCTTTAACTTTTCTTTGTTTCTCTCTAATAAATCATTATTTTTTGAGAAAAAAAAAGATAATTTATTAGACAATTTGTAAGTAAATGCTCTTTAAGCATATTAGTAAGATGAAGAATTCTAATTCATGTTGTAACAGCACAAATTCTAGCCTAGTAGTTTCGGGTTTACTCGAGAGGTATGTAAACCTTGTGGAATTCGTATTTAAAGTCGTTGGATTGTATGTGGGCTTATTTTGTAGTGAATTGTCCTATTTGATAATAAAAGGGGGATTTTTGCTTAGTGGAAAGATGAGGAGGGAACAATAGTGTATTTTCCGGTTTTAAAAACATGTGGGCCTTTATATCTCCTTTATCTTCTTCTCTTCATTCATTCCTTCTCATTTTCATTTCTTTCATTCTCCTCTCCAAGTGCCATAGCTAAGGGTAAGTTCTTTGAGCATTTTCATGCCTCTTTTAAGCTACAATTCGTCCCCCAACTTTCGAGCAACTTTATTTTGATTATCAATGCTTGGTGATTCATGTTTGGCTAAAGAAAAGGAGAAATCAACCAAGTCTTAAACAAAAGTGTCCGTAAGCAAGGAGTTTCATTTCGGGTTTCTAACAGCATGTAGTGTATTTCTAATTCCTTGTGGTATTAAGGCTTTCATAAGCATGAAGATTTGTTAAGATTTGAGAATTTGAGCATTTTAAGATTTATGCTTGATTCATGCCATGAATAACCTTTTTGATGTAAAACATGTGTTTTTATGATACTTTATGACCCTAAGTTGTTTCCCTAAGCTTTAACACGTGATGAGGAACTAAACTAAGACATTCGGAATGAATTTTAGGTGTTTCACGAGCTTAAACAAGACATTTATGGGTTCCAGTATCGATAATAGATTAATCGATACTTGATAAAATGGGATGATTTTTGAGCATTTTATAAGGGGAGTATAATAACTACAACAAACTTATCAATTTGTGACGAAATTTCTATATGACATTATTTTTAGCTTCATTCCTCATCACATGGGAAGTAATGATACTGGAAATGTAATGATATCTTTTAGTAGTCTCTATTGTTCCTTCTTTGTTGATGTTATTTGGGGATCTACGAATTTATATTGAGTTTCATAGAGATGATGATTTTGGCCCAATGATGGATAACTCATTTTTTTGGATTGTTCTGTTTTCGGTTCATCTTTGGCTTTTGCAGATAACCTCTCTCTCTCTCTCTCTCTCTCTCTCCCACATGCAATGTATTAATTTACCAATATATATACACCATATATACATTTCTTTGGTGGGCTGGTGATGTGTGAAAAGCTATTGATGAATGTGTTAGCAGATGAACTGTACATGATCTTGACATAGCTATGAGATCTAAGGGCCTTTTTAGTTGTACTTTCAGTCTTAGAAGTTAGATTTCTAAATTCATAGGATGTAGTAGAACTCTGTGGTGTTTATTTTTTTAATTATGATTTCAAATATTCAACAAATTAGCATAATATGGCAATATATGAATGTGTAATTTTCTATTAATGTATAAGAGAAAAATAAGTATTTTATTGGTTTATTAAAGACTAATGCTATCTTGATTTGAGTGCAAGTTTGAAAGCTTTCTGATTTTACCCTGATCTTCATTAGTTCGTTTATCATTTATGTAATCTATTGATAGTGGAAGTTAATTAATTAATGTTTTAAATCATGTTTTTTAATAACTCAATTTATTC